CCGAGTTGCATGCTCTCGTTGACAAAAGTAACCCACATAATGAACAGTCGTCTCCTGGATATTTACATGTGGGACACGTCCCGTCGAACTGTACCCGACATATTCCACAGACTTCGTCCTCGGGCATATCCCATCTCCATGTTGCCACCGCGTTCCATTCTTTAATAGTGACCTTCATACGGACAGCGCAAATGGTGCGACCGCGGGTCCGCGAATGTATGGCAGTTTCAGGAAGATAAACCTGCTGCGCTTCCGTTAGCAACGATGTTTCTATCAATGGAGAGCTGCAGAAGGGCAGGTAGAAACATTAACTCTACCCTACATCCACACATACTCCTAATCTAATCTAGAACCAGTGGCCCCATTTACATAAGGCGATATCCTTTGTCCTAGTTGAAGAGTTCTGTTCTCAGGCTGTTATCAAACATCTTCATTGACGGTTCGCGTCACGGGTCACATGGTGACTAAGCGGTAACGAATCGTTTTCTTAAGGCGTGGGCATAACATTGAGCATCCAAGTGGATCTGATCGTAATTATTACGGAGAAGATTATAGGCAGAAATAAGCAGAGCATGAAGATGGTATTGTTTAATTAAAAATCACCCAAGAATATATCATAACCACGTAATTTAAGGGTGATAGGGAGCCGGAACAAAAGATCTTGCACAGTCCAAAAGTCGACATGAAAATTCAATTACCAGTAACCAGTAACCAATAGTTCCATCCCAAGACTGAGGGACGAGGTCTAGAATAATAAAGCATTCGTTAGTTGCATGATCACCTAAATTTTAGGCACATTTTGTCCACAAGAGGTCCGGAATGATCCCTACTCTATGAGTATCTTGTGAGAACTGTAAGTTGACGTTAGAGTTAAATTACTAGCGTCTCGCAGCAACGACTTTCCAAGGTGTTTGTTTACACCTTTTACCTCTCCCCATTGACGATGCTTTGCCAGTTCCCTTTCACCCTCCGAGAAGAATCAATTCCAGCTATGTAAAAGCACGACACAACCCAGCTTAGAGCCTCCCATCTACCGCAAATGGCTCTTGCAGCTCTTCGTTCATTTGGTTTCTCATCCAGGATTCCTCGCACCAGGTCTACCTCTACCACATCCACCCATTCCCCACAGCGACGCTCGATCTCCCTTTCATCCTACCTCGTCACCCCCAAGGAGCTCAATGATGCGCTTAAGAAAAATGTGAGGACCAAAATATCTACCTCACCGCGGGTGATTCCGCTGTGTGCCACCTGGTTCATGCCCAATGATCCCGCGAAACGTACGGGTATTGAGGCCTTCAAAAAGTGCCGCATCCCACATGCCCGCTTCTTCGACATTGATGCGGTGAAGGACCACGATTCCCCCTATCCACACATGTTGCCTAGCAAAGAAAGTTTTCAAGAAGCTATGCAGTCCCTGGGAATTCGCAGAGATGATCAAGTTGTGGTATATGACTCCGAGGAGGTAGGACTCTTCAGTGCGCCTCGAGTGGGCTGGACATTGAGGGTGTTTGGGCACAGCAATGTCCATGTCCTTAACAATTTCAAATTATGGGTCCAGGAAGGATATCCAACTGAGTCTGGAGATGTTTCCCCTGAAGAGCGATCTAACTACACTGTGGGCGACTTCACTCCAAGAATGGTTGTGCATTTCACGGAGATGAAAGAAATTGCCGAGAGCTATGGCAAGGAGGGCTCGGAGGGTATCCGCATTCTTGATGCCAGACCGGCGGGCAGATTTACGGGGAAAGACAACGAGCCCCGCCCTGGCCTCCCGTCAGGCCATATGCCCGGTTCTACGAATTTACCCTTCTCGGAGCTTCTTGATGCCAACACCAAAGCATTGCTTCCGGCATCAGAGCTGCGCAAAATATTTGAGGCTAGGGGAATTAATCCGGCTGAACCAACTGTCAGCAGCTGTGGAACCGGCGTGACAGCTGCCATTATCGAGCTTGCTTTGAAAGAGGCCGACGACACCGAACCTGGAAATAGGCGAATATACGATGGGAGCTGGACGTGAGTACATATACATACTACACCGTGTTCGAGTTCGGACTCAGAACTGACACCTGCATAGGGAATGGGCTCAAAGAGTGACGGAGGCTAGTGGCCTGATTCAAAAGTCATGAAATCCGTCAGAGGCAACCAGGCCGTACGGGGAGCTGGACTTGCATGATCACGAAATGTGTGTTGATGAAAACTTCATTCATGATTGTCGTTTGTATTCCATTGCTGTCTTTTGATACAATTGTCTCCGTTCATTCTCTCGCGTTTAAACTACTTTTCTGACCTTTCCTGACTCCTAAACGTAACTCTCCCTGAGCCTTCATATACCTTATAGCAGAGTTGTTCTGTTCTGTTCTTCGAATTTGACGGCTGTGGCCATACCAGCGCTTCTTTCCGTAGCTTAGCGGCAAGGTAAAACCCTATTCCTAATAATTAGGACCAAGTAATTACGATCGCTCTGTAGGCTTTCTGACTAACTTTTTCTGCTGGAATTTTGTGAGCCAACCTTGGCCAGGAGCTTAGTCAGCGAGCATGACAAGATCCCCTCAATCCAGTGACTCTCCTCGTCCTCATCTTCGTCAACTCCACCAGCAGCAGCCGCCATCAAATGTCCGGCATTCACCGCGCTGCTCTGTCCATACGCGCAGCGATACCCGGGCCAGTGTGATACCTTCTCACGAATCTTCCTGTGCCCAACTCGTTTTCTAGAAAAGCAAAAATGCTTCCTGCAACTGCCTTCTGTGGCTATATTTCTTGCGGTCAGTGTGATTTTTCTCTCCTTCACCCCTCCAATTTGCAGTACTCTTTTCTCCAGAGTTATCGCGTTGTACTTCTAGTTCCGATCGAGGATTGGTCGAGTATCATATTGGACTCAGTATGTGTTTGCTAACTGAATCTTCCTGCGTAACAGTTAATACAAAGTTCATGAATACTTCGTGATATATGATATATTAAAAGACCAAAGTACACAACCATACAAAAATAAAAACCTTTTAATACACCCTACACCTTTCGGAGAAGAGCCATATAATAGACGGCATGTCGGCCGGCCGAAAAATTTTTCGCTGCGTCGTTGACGATACCGCCCTTACTACTAATATCAGCGAAATCAAGAAATGGACTTCATCCGGCGCTATCACTCTCATCGTTCCACTCTACAGTATGTCTCGGCGGCTTTCCAGGTTATTATCTATTTAACCTCTACATCTTGTTGCTAACATCCACTAGCCCTTGAACGTCTCCGGGCCTTGAAGCGATCTGGCTCTCAGATCGGCATGAATGCCCGGGAAGCCGTTCGCTTCCTCGATCGGGTCACATCTGGCAAACATGAGATCCCATCCTCGAGGATTGCACTCCAGGGTCCTATGGAGCTGTTCGAAACATGGGAAGCAGCAGAAAAGTACTTTCTTCCAGAATTCGAAGAGGACGTTGAAGATCTCTCGGAGGGTGATGAAGACAGCGATGAAAACGCTCCACACAAGGACATGAAGAACGGAGAGGCCGAAATCGAGCATACGGAGACTGCGAATCCTAATGAGATGTCACAATTGCTCCTTAGCAAACTTAATTTCAAGAAGGAACCTGACGCGGTGTCCGTAATTTCTGGCGGAACTGGCAGCAATGCTGCGTCCCTTGTCTCGGGAAGTTCGCACACAAGTCCCAAATACATGGCTGCTAATCTTGATGTGGCTCCTTCGCCTAAATCGAATGTCAAGGGCTCCGTAAATTCACACTGCCGCTCCGCCTCTGGATCTGTTATCCCGTCAGTGCCAGCGACCATCAAACCACTACTTAGTGCAGTCCTCTGGCGCCTACACTGCCAACCCGGTTCAACGCCAGGGGTAAACAGATGCATTCTTGTTACTAATGATCTAACCACACAGACATGGGCCCAGAAATTTGGCATTACCACAAAAAATATCCACCAGTTGCGTACCGCTATCATCTACGAGGAAAAAGAGTTCAAAAACCACTGCAAATACATTGAAAGGAACCAATCTGTGGAACCCGAGCGGCTACTTTCATACGAGGACGAGAGTGATGAGGACGTGCTTGTATTTGTTCCCCGTGGGCCAGGAAAATCCGCCTCTCGTGGCACAACGATTAAACGCGCAGCCACTCATAAATCGGCTGCAAGTAATCGGATTGCTAGTACCAATATGAATGGTGGTAACGTCAAAACAAAAAGTCAAATCACTCCTGAGGCGACTGTTGAAGTTCCATCGGCTCCCATCGACCCTAACTCATTTAGTCGCAATTTTGGCACTACGAGGACGAGCCCCCCGACGGAAATCCCTTCCTCAAACGAAAGTCTTCCGCGAGCATTTTCTGGTTCCAGCCCGCGCGGGCAGCGCCGTGGAGCTCCTCGCGGCATCCCGCTTCGCAGTTCGACTCGAGGCCGTGGCAAACTTTGGGTCCCTTGAACAGATGGCTTAATCCAGCGGCTTTTACTCAGCTGCCGGAAGTGGTGATCTATTCTTTTGACGTCTGAAATTGATCAAGGAAGCATTTGACGACATGAAACCAGCCTCGTTTTCTTGGCATTGGTCTTTTTATTACCTGGCCAAGGTTACCCGAATATATGGATTTTATCCTCGTTCAGTCTAATCGATCGCTATAGCCGACTATACTCGGGAAGAGGCGGTTTGAAGGCTTTTCTAAGATGAGATGTGAAAACCCACATGGACTCACCTGTGTGGCTCATGTCTCCGTTGCCATAAACTCGACCCTTTTCAAACCCTTCACTTCGTGACTGTTGACAACTTTTTTTCGGGGCCTGGATTGTGAAACCGAACAACAAGTCCTCGCTTTGCTATCTGCGTTCCTTTTGCGATCCAGCTTCTTTATGCCTGCTTTTTCTGTAGCATAGTAGAGGGGGGTTTATTTTGCCACAGAGAACACATGGTTACTGACCGGTGTCAGGCAGTCTCCGACAGTTAGGAGAACCGTGAGTTTTAGCGCGAGGATTTTTGATATTCGGGGTTAGCTACTTAAGAGCGAATATGATAGTTTATAGTATGTTGCGACACTGGCGGAAAATTGTAATTATCTCGAAGTCAAGTTTGTGTTTGGAGGAAATTTTTGCTTCCTATCATGAGCTATTAGTTCGCAAGATTTGTTTTTGTTTGCTCTCTTCCTTCTTTTGAAATTATTCCATAGGTTATATGCGGTGTTCAATTAACTGTATCCTTCAACGTTTTTCTTCCAAGAACTGTTTCAAAACGATAAGGGCTCGTGCATATGCATCTACAAGAATGTTAATTTCATTTTATGTCAGAAAAAAAATTCAGAATAGCGAATATACATAATTATAATCATAATCATACTTGAAGAGCACGCTGAATGTTCAATGCAAATTATGTGGGATGGTTAATCTTCTCATTGTGCGATCGCTAGCTAACTATATAGGGGTAATCACGTGCGGTGGAGGGCCACCTGGGCAACTAGTGCCCAACACCCCCCCACACGCCAACATGCGTGATGTGTTCCTACGAATATTTCATGCTAGCTATCTTAACCAAGATCATCCCAAAAACATGCTACATACAGAAATTTAATCATTCTCACTGTTGTCAGTGAAAAGTCCTAGTAATTTAATGAAACATCTAAATGTCACTGTGCCCAGAGGTTTGATTAATCTGTCTGCTATCATATCCTCAGTGGGAATGTGGTTAATTGAAATAACACCTTTGTTCAGTTGCATGTGAGAATAGTGGAAGTGAGTGTCAATATACTTGCTGTGTGCTGTGATCACAGCAATGATAGCTAGATTGATCAAACCTTTATTATCTGCCCTGATGAGCAAGGGGTCCTTTGCTGTAATAAATCCTAGTTTCATCATCATATTGCACAATCACATTGCTTCACATACTGCTTCACTGAGTGCCATGTATTCTGTCTCATTTGAACTTAAAGAAACACAAGATTGTTTGAACAAATGCCATGAAATTGGTGCATCTACTAACTTGAATATGAAGTCTGAGATAGATTTGTATTCACTGTTCAACAGTTCTGTCCAATCTGAATCCATATAATCTATCAGCAGATATGATGTGTTGGGGAATTCATTGATCTCATTCTTGAGGCCTTTGTATAAGATGTCTAGATTGCTTGTTTCTTTTAGATATTGTATGACATGAAGAAGAGCTCTTCATATCTTAGATGTAGATGCAGTATTCTTCTGTGCTAGTAGAAATGCTGCTCACACAATATCTGGATGTAATTTGACTGCCAGATACTGCAAGCACTCTACTCTGTGTTGATATTATTCTTTAATGAACCCTTCTTCTTATTCTGATACAGAGGCATTGTCTATCTTCATTCTCTCAAGTATTGATATAGAGACAGAGACAGCATCATCTAGACAGAAATCCTGCACTAAACAATCAATATAGCATCTCAATGTCAATTTGATAGCATCATCAGAGTGACATTCAACCTTCATGCTCAAGTATTTTGAAGGTTCTTTCAAATCTTTTATTTCTAATTTGTTGATGAGGGTGTCAACTAGTCAATTGGCATCTGCTGAATCTTCTGCTATAATATGAAGATCATTCACATAGATTGTCATATAAAGATGATTGCAGAATGTGTGACACCATAGAGCAGAGTTATAGAGACTAGATTTGAAGCCATTCTCACAGAGTAATGTCATAAGGAAATTGTATCAAATCTTAGCAGTGGGGTTCAATCCATATAGAGAGTCTATGACAGCACAAATCATTGCATGTGGAGTCTCCATCTCAAATCCAGTAGATTGCTGTATATAAATTGTTTTATCAAGTCAGCTGTGCAGGTAGGCCATCACTATATTAATCTGATGCAAGGTTCAACCTCACTTCACTGCTATTGTGAACATTATGTGATTAGTAGTGTTATTGATAACAGACATGTATGTTTCTTTGTGTGTGCTCTTCTTTAACCAATTGCTATATACTATTCATCAAGATTTTTGTAATATGCCATCAGAATTCACATTGAGGTTCTGAGGGTGATTTTTTTCAATATAAACCCAGCAGCTGGGGGCCACTGGCTCATCAGAAGAGATGTCAGAATATGAGATTATTGTTCAAATATTTCTTTGTTTCAAATCTGCAATCTCATATTTCATTGACTTTTATCAATATTTGCCAACCCCTTCAGATCTACTAACAGCATTCTTATATTTTTTTGAAACAGAACTGATGAGAGGAGAAGGGATGTAGATGGTGAATACTTTCACTGATCTTATTCATTTAATATCAGCTAATTTGGAAACAGCAGCATCATCAATAAGATAAGTTGCTGAACTTGTAGCTTTGAATGTTGTATGATTAGTATCAATCTGTGAGATTGTAGATTTCTTTGCAGAGAAAATGACATCACTGATGACAATTATTTTATCAGTTGTAGAACTTCAGAGATGATAGATTGAGTTGCTATGAAATTCTATAAGTTTAAATATTTCTGCTCTGACAGACAGCTTATCAGTAGATCTTTGAAATTCATGAAGATGTGTGTAAACATCAATATCTAGCTCTCTAAAATAGTGAAGTTGGAGTGGGGTGTTGATTAGTGCTGAGAATGGGATGATATAGAGGCATCATACAGATGCTTCATTGGCATTGTTGATAGACCAGTATTTCTCATTATACAGAGTGGTAGATGTCAGCATGTTGTTGGTAATTGCAACTACTGTTTCAAGAACATCTGCTCAGAACTTCTTCAGTATATCCATGTCTATAAGCACTGCTCTAGCGCGCATCATTATCATATGAATACCTCTCTCAGAAACACCATCTTGATGGAGGGATTGAGGCATAGTAGATTCCCAGATAGTGTCATCTTTGATCATCATTGTTGTCATCTTGTTTGATCAAAAGACACCATCAATATCAGTTCTAACTAGTGCTGGTGGTGTGAAGCCAAGATTTTTCATGAATTGAACTCAGTGAGTGTAAAATTTGATAGCTTGATCCTTAGTGTGTAAAAAATAGATCCATCTATAATGGGTGGTGTCATTGGTGATAAGTATATAATATTTGATCCCTTGATAAGATTCTATAGAGTAATCAGATATATCATTCAGCATACAACTGCTGCCAGCAAGATCAATATGAATATATTGCATTGCTTGCAATGCTTGTGGCATGGAAGTTTATGAGAACTTGCATATCATGTCTGCTTTGACACAGCTATCACAGAAGAAGCCTGTTTTAGATTCTTTGATACAGATGTCAGATGACAGATTCTTCACTAGTGCAATGATTGCATCAGCATGAATATGCTCTAAAGTGATGTGCTATTCCATGAGTGTTCTTGTCAGAGAATTGTGATTGCTAGATTGATCACTAGATTTCCCCACAGTTATCAACATTGTGTCTCTGTAATTGTAAGATTTGACCATAAAATGAACAGTCTGAGACAGATGATGAATGTCTATTTGAGATTCTTATTCTATTATCTTATAAACTGATTTTTTGAATGTGCAAACAGTGGTGAAGTTGACACTGTTCAGAGCTCTTATTGTAAAATAAGAAGAGATGATGTCAGATAGTTGATATCTGAAACCTTGATCTTCTAGCTTCACAAAGAATAGAAGGTTGACAGTGAGATTGAGAATTCAGTGAATGTGACCCACTGAGATATTCCTCTCTTCTGATTCTAGAAGAATATCATCTATCTCCTCAATCCATCCTACATCATCATCCACAGTGGTTATCTCTAAATCCCCCTCAAACAACTTTGCACACATCAATAAGTGTCTTTCATCCATTATATTAAAGCTTGCATAGATGTTGAGATACCAAGATTTGAATGTTATAGTGAATAATATAGATAAAGCAAATGTCATATTAACACTAGATTGCAAGACAAGAAGATCTGATGCTCTGATGTCAGTAGATTTGTCATCATTCTTATTCTTCTTCTTATTCTTTCTCTTCTTTTTGGCACTCTCAGTGTTGTCAGTGCTCTTATTATTCTTATTCTCCTTCCTTCACCACTCAGATGCTTTATCAGAGTTCAGATGATAGCAATTAGTTTTTATATACTCTGAGATCTTGCAGTATCTGCACTGTGAGATTGTGGTGGTGATTGTGATGTTATCATCATTATCATTGATGACTGTGTTGATCTTTGAAGCTTTGAGATATTCAGAACCCTCTGACTTACTCATTCAGTGAGCAATTTGTTTTGTGAGATTGTCAATATCTAGATTAACAATCAGACTCTGACCCATTCTGTAGAATGTATCAAGATGTGATTTGATGTAGATTCTCTGATAATCTCAGAGGCTGATAATAAAGAAATCATGGAGATAGTTCTCACTGTGATCCTCTGTTAGTTGTCACATGCAAGCAGACAGATAGTGATATTGACACACATACATCAGATAATCACTGTTCTTGACATGCAAGTGGGTAAGTTCTTTGAGAATATTAATTCTTTCCTTCTCTAGAGACATCATATATACTGTGCTTATCTTGTGCCATAGAGCTGCTGCATTGTCAGATTGAATGGATTTCATGATCAAATGGATAGAATCTATCAGAGATTATAACATACAACAGAAGAGTAGCTTTGAATGTATCATTCAATATTGTTGCTTGAGTGTTGATAAATCTTCAGATGGTTTCTGTTGATTCTTATTGAAAATATCTGCACCATCAATTATCTCTGCATTCAAGAAGAATATCATCTTCCATGTCTGGTAGTTGGTGTCATTGAATGTGGTGATGAACTTTGTATTCAACAAGACCTGCACTTTCTTCTGATATTTGCAAGCCAGTATGTTCAGATCTTCTTCTGGTATAGGGTTTGGGGGAGGTGGAGGTGGAGAAGAAGGTGGTGGAGGAGATGGCAGTACACATGCTGATATCAGTCACTCACAGAGTGCAATGAGATCTGCTGCTGCCATGATCACCATACTGTTAGAATTCAGTGTAGATATTGGTATAGAACTGAGCATGCCATTCTCAGATTCCTCATGTTCTGGCATCTTGCCAGTATCATGTGCTGAGCCAGAGATTGTCATATCATCCTCTGTCATTGTGTATTCAGTTTGATCACCCTCTGCTTCTGAGGTGGATTCTTGTTCAGTAACAGAGGGAATGAACTGGGGGACCCTTGATTACAAACATAGTGTCTTCTTATGTTCTGATATGAGGGTCGCAGGTAATTGAGAACCACTTATAATCAATCTTAGAGGGTTCTGAATGAAAATAAATAAATAAGTTTTTGATTCCTTCAAGATAGTAATGAAATCTCTGCAGCAGTCTCAACAGTAATTCCATCAATTACACCACTTTTATAGGCAAAGAGCTCTCTTTTCAGAGGAATAATGTCTAACTCATCCAATATAACTTCAATTGCAGTGTATTCTAATCAAAACACATCATTTTTCTTAAAAATCTGCTATCCGGGCCATAACCTGTGGGATGGTTAATCTTCTCATTGTGCGATCGCTAGCTAACTATATAGGGGTAATCACGTGCGGTGGAGGGCCACCTGGGCAACTAGTGCCCAACAAATTACCCACCTTACCACGTGACTGTGAATCACAAACCTCGAAAAAGATGATTCAATTGAATTTTCTTTGCTGCCCATGTCAACAAGGAATTCACGTTCCTCTTTAATAGCAACATTTCCATGGGTTGGATAAGCCTAGGGACATTTGTTATCTCGGTCTCGTTTTTGCTATTCAAGCATCCTCTAGGAACGTGGAGCCTTGCTCCGTTGTACAATTTGCTTCGGATTAGACCCGCTACACCGGATATTCCTTCATCACAAGCCCCACAACCTATTCGATCGGAAGCTTCTGGGTTGGATGAGGAGGCATCGAAGGATGGTGAACACCGATCAGATTCGCAACCCGAAGACTCAACTCCAAAAGCGACTCCGGAGCAGCTCCCGTTAGTGGACGTGCCAACTTTCAATTTAGAAAGCCCCGCTGTGGTCGATGAAAGACTAGATATCTCGTTGAACTCCAGCAATACCATAAGCCTCTCGCAAAACCGTTCCCCATCCTCAACTACTCCCAGTCAACCCTCACCATCCCCCACGACGAGCAATGCCTCCAAAAAAACTACTCTTACGCGCCCACTACCCCCGCCGACACAAAGAAACCAAAACCAAAATGCATCCATAGCATCCAGGACGGGTACCATGTTACCTCCTCCACGACCTTCTTTAAACACCCCACTCCGTCCTCCACCATCCGCAGCCTCTACCCTCCGTGGGCCCCTACCACGAGGCCTCACATCTAGCACACTCGCGCCAATCCAAGTCCAAGGCAAACCACAGCCATCTCGCCAAGTGGCACTTGAACCAGGCCGCTCACCTCTCGACTGGGCAGCATTAACTTCCCAACCCAACCATAAGCTGCGAGGGGAAAATCTTCCACCGACACTCATTCGTGTAACGCCGTCGATGTTGAAGGCGCATAATGGAAGGAAAGGGCGAGACGCGTGGACATCCTACATGGGTAAAGTTTACAACATAACTCCCTACCTCCCGTTCCATCCGGGCGGGAAGGGAGAGATACTTCGCGGGGCAGGGAGGGATTCCGAGAAGCATTTTACGGAGATTCATCCGTGGGTTAATTGGGATGGGATGTTAGCGGAATGTATGGTTGGAATACTGGTGAGCGAAGGCTATGAAGTGGGCGGTGGAGGCGGAAGTTTGGAAGCAATGGATTGATCACGCAATAGCGCTTCTAGATGCTTTTTTTTCTCTACTTTTTCTACTGAGGCCTTTGTAGATAAATTGGTCCAGGATTTTCTTTACACATTGTTTTAACCGAGGTTTCTTGAAGGGTTGTTGAGTCTTGCATCCATTTCGCTATATTTGGCACATACCTGTACATGATGCATACACATTAAAGCGTTTGACAGTAACCATCACAGAAGAATAATCATGATCGTTGTAGAATATAGAATTCGCAAATAGCTGCTCCAATGAAAGAGGACATAGCTCTTAAGCAGACGTCGCAGGCGTATGCTCTACGCCCCGCGGCCGGACAACCCGCAAAACCCATTCCGTCTCCAGTAGGCATATCCTCCCCCGAACACAAGAAATATCAGGAACCACAGGTACAGGGTACCACCATTACCACCCTTACCACCACCACTGTTTTCGAGGCCAGGTCCTACAGAAACGCGTAAAAATCCGCAGAATAAGCATTCGCCTTGCTTGTCGTCTACCCGCGGGATCCAAAGATACAGACAGAGATATTGCTTGGACGGGCAGATGCACAGATGGCCAAAGAGAAGAAGAGCATACTTCAAAGCTCATCCTTTGCCGTACCTTTGATGTCTACCAGCTCTGTTTCAAAGATCAAAGTGGCCCCGCCAGGGATGGGTCCGATGCCGCGCTCGCCGTAGGCCAGCTCGGGGCTGATGGTGAGTTTGCGCTTGTCGCCAACGCACATGTCAAGCAGGCCTTGGTCCCATCTAAACGCAGAAGCAGCACCCGGTTTAGCCGCTATGTCGTTTCAAGGGGAAATAGAATAAAATAAAAAGAACTTCTGAAATGTCATACACACCCTGCGATAACTTGGCCCTTGCCAACGGTGAACACCAATGGCTGGCCGCGGTCGTAGCTGGCGTCGAATTGGGAGCCGTCGGAGGCTAAGGTGCCGCGATAGTGCATTGAGAGGACATCACCGACCGCACTGCGGCGGTTGCATTCGACGGCATGAGTCTTCTCGATTTTGAGGCCGCTCTGCTCAGCGACGACGGAGGTGGTAAGGGAGAAGAGGGAGAGGGAGAGAAAGGCGGCGAAGGATTGGGCGCGCATTGTTCCTTGTTATTATCAGATTCCTTTTATTTATTGTTTTTTTCCCTCTTATTATTCAGTTTCTATTGTCAGTTGTGCCTCCGGGCAGCAGGTGGTTGAAATTCGAGAGCTGGTGATAGAAAAGCTGTTTGAAGCTTCCTGAGGTCACCCGAAATATTTAGTTACTTATGCGACTAAAATTAACTTCCAAATCGATGACAAATGAAACATTGACATAGTCCTACCAAAATATAGTTGTGCAATGGCATCAAACGTTACTCTCCAGCGCACTTTTGTTCACAATGCAAATTATTCCCGTTTTTACTTACTAGTATTTTATTCAAAATAGATCAAGAGAGGCCTAACTGGCGCTGAGGATCGAGGGAATCCACAATCCAGCATAACGTCGCAGTTGCTCCTTCGCAGGAATACTTCCACTTTCAGCATTCACCGGTGCACTTTGTGGCAGGTCATATTTAATGGATGGCAGAATCCCTTATGAATGCGGGAGTTCGACTGTCGACGTGCATCGACGGACTGTTCTAGCCAATGCTGTGGTGCTGGACATCCACGTTGTTCCTCTGTGTCGATAATTGCTCTGCCAGGCCCCAGCGGACGGAACGCTTAAGCGGTCAAGTTATTTGTTCTTTAGGAGCTGACCCGTCTTTGCTCGAAGTACGGGACATGCCTGTGCTCCGCGCGTTGTGTGGGGAAGATTATAGCCCCGATATCAATGCTCCTCCTGACACTGGTGCCGTCGATATCGCGCACTACATTTATGTGGTGTACTCTGGGCACAGGGAAGTTGTGGATATTCTTCTTTGTTGGAGGAACTGAACTTGACTCCGTGGGCTCTAATGAGCGATTCTTGCTCCACATTGAAGCAATTGATGGTCAGTATCCCCCATCCAAAGCACTTTGACCTCAGTCTCTGCGATCGCGATGGGTAACTAAGCTTATATGACAATCCCGCTAATCCTATGCAGATAGGTAGGGAAGGCAGCGGCCAAAATTTTCAGCAACTCGTCAACTCAGGCGCTTCCTCCAACCAAAATTGCGTATACCCTCCTATTGTTGCTGTTAGCGCAGGGTATGTGCATATTGTTAATCTCCTTCTGAGGTATGGAGCGGATCCCAATGTAGCACCGACGAAAGACATTATTGCACCCTTCACTGTGCCATGATTTATAGAACGAATCAATATTCCAACGTCTCCTTGGACACGACGCTGATCCACTCCTTCGTGACTGTGCTGATGAAATGGCGATACACGGTCCTTGTGGATTATGAATCGACAATATTTCGGAGTTGGCTGAAAACATCCGTAATCTCTCAATCGCACTCAAGGAGTCATGGAGGTGTTCAAGCCTGTAGCCTTCATGTCCTGGTAAAGCAGGGATGATATATCCTATGTGACACTATTCAATTGTTATATCTTTGAACGGCTGGATTTTCAACTCTATCTCTGTCCAATTCAGAGTGGGAAAATGTTAAATCACAAAGCAATAAGATATCATTTTAAACATGGGAAAGGATGTCGAAGTGGCTCATCAATTCAACAAATCCCAGGCAGGAGTCTTGCCATTGCTAGTCGTCAAACAATGAATATTTGACGGACATCTGTCGAAAATTATTTTCATGAGGCAACCAACATTCAAGAACAGAGCGGACATCCAACTGGAATTCTGACGCTAAAATTCCGTTAAAACAAGCGGCTATAAGTTAATAGCTGATTTCATTTCTTCATCTAGAGGACGGGATATTGTTTGAAAGCCTGTTGTCATCGTTTAGAATCACGACTTCAAAATAAAAGTAAAAAATGATCTCAAAGAGAAGGTCATTTTATTTCCAATTATCCAGTCGAAACCCCATTCAGGGTAAGAATGGCAATTGTATTCAAAGCAACAAAAAATATGTTCCAAGGAAAACTATTATTTCATTCCACCACCTTCGTATCGGCCTACAGAGACAATCAACCGAAATCATCACTGCAAAGGAAGTCCACGAGGCAAGTGGGCCCGCTTGTATAGCATCTCAAAACGAACAGAAAATCAAAGATAGGTGTAGATGCATTTGAATAAGCCTTCAGCCTGATTCGAAAATGCCCGCGAATCACAAACAGTGAGGCTAGAACAAAATGCCAAAATGAGGTCAGAAACTACCATAACAAGGGTATATTATCACCGAAGAGAATATGCAGCATGGGGGATCTGCGATTGGATGCCTCGACAAGGCGAGATCAAATGGCGAAATGGCACCAGGAGCACAATGAAAGCGTCTGACGAAATATTGAAATCGTTCCAACAAGTCGCCGTCCTTGTCAAGAACGTGGCAGGGCAGATGGAAATATCGCGTTTGCACCACCGCCTCGTTCCCTCCTCCGCCTGGCTTTTGTCGCCTCTTTTGCCCATCATCATTTGAGTTTGTCTTTGTCCTCTTCTCGCTTTGCTGACCCTGTCAGTTTTGGATATCGAGGCTTGTGTATCATCCTTGAAATCCAGTCACACAGGACATCTTGATATTTTTAAAGCCAAATTTTCTCTTTTTAGATTTAATATCTGATCCTTTTTTTAAATCTCTAACTAACCGTCGGGCATTGAGGCGAGTGATTCGATGCCCTGGGTCCAGATTCCTCGAACTTGGACTTGCCATGAACCCATCCAGGACAGGCGGTGAATGAATGGCGGGGAAAAAAGATCAATTATAAACTGGAGAAGAGAAAGAAAGAAAGTCAAAAGCAGAATCACAAACAAGCGGAAACACTCGAGTTAAAGAAGTCCCAGGGTCCAGAATTGACAGCTCAGAGGCGTGCTTCCTACAGGTGCCACGTACAGTCACGGCAAGAAATGCGATGTGCAAGGCCAAGATGTTGGGCTGTGGCTACAATATGTGCCGGAAATAGTTAGAAAAGAAAAAAGAAAAGAAAAAAAAAAAGAAGAAGAAAAGGGCCCTTTAAACAAGGCCAGCAATGAGAATGCAGGATGGTTCTTGGCCGATGGAAAGGGGCCAGAGGTGTCCTATGGACGGCCATTGCATGGGTTTATCACCAAGTAATACCTATCTTGAACCAGCCTCTCCCTTGCCCTGCCAAAGGAACCAACTATTTTATCCAGTCAAGTACTTCGGCACGCCAAACTAGAGTTCTGCGGTTTTACATACATCAGCCGTGGGAAAGGGCGGTCAGATCATGATCAAGAAACATCCACTTTGAGGAGCTCCCGGACATTTCCTCTCCATTAGGATAACTTCCTTGCGTGCCAACATAGTCGGTAGTAGTTAGCGGCAGAAGGTTGGGTGATTTAAGATTTGATGTTCTCGGGCGCCTCAGTTTCACAGAGGGCAGGTATCCCTACAGTTAGAGCAAAGGCAGCGGTTTTAGTTGAGTTGGTTAAAAAGTTCAGCTAGGTGGTTCAGTGGAGGGAGCCCCTAAATCTCGCTGTGTCTTAACTAAAGCCATGCCCCAAATCATGAACACCTGGTAGGCTGTGATTGACAGCCACAAAACCTCGCCCTTCTCTGATGTGGCAGTTCGCCCGTTACAGGGCAAAATTACATCGAAAATGGCAAATACCGCCCTGACACTGATTCAAGTGGCGAACACGCCAGCCAGGCATGTTGAATAAGTGGAATATGATAAGCCACAGTTGCACCTCTCTAAGCTCTGGCAGGATACCTCCATCCCCACACATCCCTCCAATCTTGGCCTGCGGCAGTGATTTCTAACTTCCAAGCCACTATCCTCTCAAATGAATGTGTTTTTGGCTGCGGATAAGTGTAGCAATACTGCATACTGTGTAATGTTCCAGTTTACGGAGCAAAGATACACATCAGATCATAACCCCTTAAAGCCACATGAAATTAAGGTGGCTCTGGCCAAGTGTCTATTCTTGCTAATGATGGATAATAATAGACCACATCAACCGCCCCTGCACATTTCATGGCTGACCAAAGCACCAGAGGCCCTCTGCATATGGCTCGCAAACAACGTAAAAGACAAACAGGGTAGATTCGTTGGCAACCGAACGCGGATGTGGGCATATAAGACGTTGCCCTCCGCACAACACTGGGCATTCACCGTAACAGATCGCTTCACAGAGCCTCTTTATATTTCACTCAGCCTCGGATGTCAGAGACACCCACACCCTCGCGTCGGTCGTAGCCAGCAATTCGCATAGCAAGCTTGTCAGTGGATCGCACGCGTCCATAACGGCAATCACACTCGTAGTGTACACGACTCAGCCACCAGCTGCCATAGAGGATTGCATCCCTCACCGGCGTTGTCGGTGAGATCTCGACTCACGGCAACAAGTTGTATGTAGCCAATAAACCTGAGGGTAGAAAATACTAACTAGCAGTAGTATAACGGTTGAATAAGGCATAAAGCAAGGAAGTAATAGAGCATTTACAAATCAAGCAGTACTTGGTTTCTTCGACAGCAATAAAAAGAAGTGGAATATGCGTATTCCCTAAGCATGCAAATCTAGGAGAGTAAGGAGATTCTCATGAATGAATTTTGACATTTCCCCAATATGGCTGGAGCCTACGTACGCCGTATTGGGCGAGCCCTAGCCCTAGCCCTGTCGATTCTCGAGGATCTCTCTCTATATGACCTTCTCGTTGCCTCAAGAAGATGCCCAGAAGCCCAACGACGCTAGAGCTCAAACATTTGCCAATCTGCTGCCCATCTGGCTAACTGCCTGTTGTGTAGCTCGCTGTTTGGTTTGTTTGTTTAATCTCTCCAGGTCCTGAATTTCCGGCGCTCGCGAGCTCTCGTTACGATGGCCGTGCAATTATCATGGAGAGCAAATTATTTCCACTGCACTACTAGATAAACTGGGGGCTGTTACCGGGTTCTGCAGGTACGAAGCAAAACGCTGCTAACCGGTTCTGGTGTTAACTATGATGATTTCAGGCTGTCAACCAGGTATCCAGAGCCCATACCAACCAGCCTTGGGCGTGGATCAAATGGAACATCTGCTGCCTGGGGCCTCGACTGGCTGGCTTAGGCATCCGAGTGGCCCAATGAAGCAGGCCCAAGAGGCGTCCCTGGCATGAAGCAGCGCACCAGATCTTCCCATAGCGGTTTTCACAGGCTCACGTAAGGTGAACCATTGTCCACTGGGACGCTTGCCTGCCCAGGATGACGCACCTAGCTGAGGAAACTCTTCTTCCGTTTCGAGTGCTCAGGGCTGTCAAACAAATCGAAATTGCAGGCACTGATGGAGCTGCCCTGATCGCATCGCCCTAAGCCAAATCTAGCCCTTCTATCATGAATCTTTTCATACGACAGCATCAGTGGGAAGGGCAGCATTCCTCGAGTTGGATTGCTTTCCGTGGCCGCTTTCCATGGCCGCTGCCCTCAGGCCAATAAGTTCTGCCTGAACAGGACGCTTCATTCTTTTCTCTTCACGAGCCTCAACACGTCCCGATTTCCTTCTCCCGCCACCGAAATATCTTCCAGGCGCTTTTCGTTCGGTGCCTTGCCAATTTTGTCCTCTTTGTTGCTTTGCTGCCTGTCTTACCCCGCGGTCCTGGATCGGTCACGCTGTGCATCGTGGAGAGCATTGCATACTTTGCTTTGACAAACTCCCCTTCCTTTTGGCGATAGTTCTTCTGCGGACGGAATAACAGTCTTTGCAGCCTATTACCAACAGCAGAATTTGCCAGTATAAAAAGCTCCTCCCTCCCGCCAAAATTTTCTCTCTATTCTAAGATCTACGCTATGATAAGATAACCAACCCAACTTCAACTCAATATTTTTTGTCTTCACCAGCGCCAGGCTCATTCACCTCCTCAGCGACTAGATCTCTTACTTATTGATATATATTTCCCTGAAGCTTTCTTGTCCTACGTTGTCAACTTCTACAACAATATCTTTCTCGGGTCTTCATACCTTTACTGCTCACGACAACCCTTATCTCTGTGTCGAGCGATCCCACCCCGACCAAACTCTTTTTCATTTACCCCACCACGAAACTATCTCCTCCAAACCAACAACCACCACCACCACCACCACCACAATGGCTCACAAAGTCGTTAGCTCGTACTCACCCAGCGCAATGTCATCTCAAGATGGCAAAGGCGTCAAGATCCACAACGCCTCACGCGATGCACAGGGTATGCTTCTATGCTTCTTGGCCCTTGCATATGAACTCGCAGCCCCTCTGAGACAAAATACTGCGCCCTTTAATCACTTCTGCATTCACTAACTAAAGACCTCGATCTCTACAGGACAACAGCAAAAGGATTCCGCCTCGAAGAAGCCAACGGCAGTAGTCGTACACAACCACGGAAGCCGCACTTACGACGAGACGAGACGTTCCGGCTTCGAAGGCAGCCGATGGAAGTAGAGGGCAGCAACTACGCCAGCAGGAGGCTGAGACAAAGCCGATCGAGTCTCTTTTCTGGGTACGAACGCGAAAGCGGAAGGATACAAGACCGCACAAACCGCCTTAAGTCTTAGTAACTCGACGGTCGATTCCTTATCTTCATCGGCTAAATTCCAAAGGGACGGAAAAGTGAGGCGCAATTGGCAAACAAAGGAAACAATTCTTCGCACAACCCCCTTTTGATCAAGTGGGTTGGCGAACAAATTGAGCCATCCCACTCCGGCTCATCTTCCGCGTGCTCGCTTCGTCCTTCACGTCGATGCAATACGTGCTTCTCACTCCGAATCCGCTTCTTCAAACAATATTCTCCTTCTTCTCCTGCTGCCTTAGCCCACTGCCTTGTACAACTATATCCATCCGAGTTATGGACTTTTCTTTCCATTTTCCCTTTCTGTATCCCTTTTGTATATCAGCATTCTAGCATATCCTGCCCATGTATTAGCCCAGGTTTCTGTATTTCGTTTGCCTTCGGTTTTCTGCATTATTCCTCTTCCTGCATCAATCATCTGTACATGTACAACACTTTTAATACCCTGCCATTTTCCATGTTTCCCTTTAATTTGTTCTTCTCCCTTTGAACTAGGCTTTTCTTTTTTCTTCTGCCGCGCACAGATTAGCCCTATCTTCTTCGTCGGATGGCTGGCCCCCACACTGAAGACAAGACTCAACGACGAGAAAGAGAGTCATCTCACCTCGGCCAAAATTGGCAAGAGTTCTCAGTCTTATTCATTATTATTATTTTTTTTCCCTCTTCGCTTTTATTTATTTTTTGGGTTGGGATATAGAAGGACAACAACCATTGGACAGCAATGGACGGACATGGGTAGGACAGGGAAACTCGGCAAACAAGGGCTGCCGGTAATGGAACCTCGGGGTATTTCTTTTAATTAGTTTCAGGCGTCTGTTCCTTTTTTTGTGCCTCCCATCTATGTTTCCTTTTTGACCCCTGTACTCTAGCGAGCAAGCGATGTTTCGTTTTTATCTTTCATTTTCGTCAACCCTGCCTCGTTTTTCATCAACTTCGACCTTCGACCTTCCTACTACACGAAACCCAATTGTACTTCCTTTTCACCCTCTCTCCCTTGTTGTTTGTTCCCCATAATACCCTATGGCATTACTTTTTTCGCTTCCCTCTTGATTCCCAGCACATAGAAAGAGAGATAAATCTAGAGCTATCACCAGACAAGGCACGAGCCTTCATCATTCACATCATCACCATCATCACTAACTACAAGCAAAAGAGAATAACTGAATCAAAAACAAGCCTTTCCGTACCTTTACTTCCGTTTCCTTTCTGTGGAAATTTGGGGCTGCAAATATATGTATTGCTTTTCTCCAAATACCGATATCCCGAGTGTTGGAGTTTAATTCTACATGTGGATGATACTCGACCACACCCTCCTGCCTCACATCCATTCCCGTGCCCCAAACATGAAACGCAGCTCACGCACACATAAATAGCTCAGATGAGATAACACCTATATCGAATACGTATTTGTATGCATACACCTGTTACAAACCTACGGCACAACCCTGAGAGCCATTGGACAAGGAATGACTAAACGGAAGGGAACATGCAAGCTAGCAGTTGAAAAAGGGAAGATCTGGTTAGTCAATAGAGATGACAGATCATATAATATAGTGAATCATCTTGATCACTCAGATTATCTGAGTGAGTGGAGTGATCACAGCTATTCTTACTCTGATAGCTATCTTGATAAGAGCTATCTAAGCTATCCTCATATATCTCAAGATGTATTCAAACACACTTACTACTCTTAGAATCAAGAAGCTTATCTTCTTAATCACAATCAATCTATTTCCTTATTTCTACTCTTATCATATTTTTACTTATACTCAGTTATATAGTATGATTATAAACTCATCTTAAGTATACTTTTTTATAATATATATCTTAAGATCTTATCTCTATCTGTAAGTTCTATTAGATATTCTTATTGTCTATTTTAGATTACTGCTGTAGCTATTGCTAGTTATTTTAGATATTTTTTTTAATATTATATTTTAATTTATAATAATGATACTATCTTCTGATTTAGTAAACAAGCTCAGCAATACTCTATAAAATCTGACTTTGTTTTATAATCAGTAAAAAGTTTACTAGATTAGAGACTCAGTAATAATATTGATCATCTCTAATTCAAAATTACAAAAATCTCTATTTAAAAAAACAATTTGTTAATTGAAATGAAACTAAGTTTAATATAACTAACTAAGTTTAAAGATACAAATCTCTAAGCTCTAAAGAAAAGTTAACTATAATATTCAAAATAGAATCAATTGTTGATAGTGAAAAGTATAATATAAAAAAATTACTCAAATATTGCAGTAAGTTGAAATAAGCAATCAGTGCTCAAAAATTTAAATACAATTCTTTTATATTATTCAGTGAAGAATATAGAAAGTTAAGAGTTTTTCTTAGTTAAATAAATATTTATCTTACTGTAAATATATTTAAATTAGCAGAAGAACTAAACAAAGTTTTACTGATATTAATATTTTTAATAAAATTTATATTTAATTAATTTGAATCTAGAATCAGATCATAATTTCATAAAGTAAAAAAGAATTATAATAAACAGATAATAAGAATTTTTTATAGCTATATATAATTTATTTATCAGCTACAGCAAATATTTGAAAATATCAATAAAAAATATTCAGCATCTCAGAAGCTATATTAATTTAAATAGATAAAATCAATTGTATAATATACATCTGAATATCAGTAATTGAGTTTATATCTGAATTAAGATAGTGAAGTTTTGACAGCACAGTTCTATCAAAAACTATATAAAAAAGTTAAAAATAAAATATTAAAATCAGTTTAAAGATCTGAAGAACTATCAGTAATAATTGAGACAACTATTAGAATTAATAACAGACTCTATAAATATAAATTAAAGAAAAAAGATTACTACACATCAGCAATCAGAATTTATAAAAAATGAAATAATTATTATAATTCACAATTAATGAAACTGAATATCACTCTACTATCTAAAAGAAATAACAATAAGAAACAGAAATATTAATATGAAAAGTTATATTTTAATTGTAAGAAATCAGAATATATAATTAGATAATATCACAAAAAATAAAATAAAAGACTATATACAACAATAAAATCACAGAAGATAGAATATTTAAAAGTAATAAAGAAATTTAATAAGAAAAATGTAACAGATATGTTATCAATTAAGCAGATGTTATTAATATTGCAGATTAAATCATTTATATCATCTATACAGTTTATATAATTCATTTCAACAGCACTATCAACAGACTTGACACTATTCTGATAATAGTTTATAAATTAATTAAAAAAAGAAAGAAAAAGAAGATCAGAAGAAAAGATTGTATAAAAAAGTTCTATAATAAATTAGCACTCATTGATAGTTAACTTACACAATCAACCCTCTACTGCATGCTCACATACTTATACACACTTATAAAGTTCTTCCACATTTTCTTGCAATTCCACTTTATAATTATATATATTTTAACACTCTAACAATTCTTTCATTCTGTGCTTCTTTAGAGTGTGATTTCTGATATTTCTTCTGCTCTAATTCTTTTATCTATAAAAACTCTTTCATACAATCTCTTTTTCTGATCTTCTTTCTCTTTCTTTTCTTAATCAATTCATAAACTGTTATCAGAATAGTGTCAAGTTTGTTGATAATATCATTGAAATGAATTGTATAAACTGCACAGATAATATGAATGATTTAATCTGTAATATTGATAACTTTTGCTTAATTAATAATATATCTATTACATTATAAATTGATTCATCTGTGTCAGTCTGAATGCTCTATATTTATGATTGCATTAAATGTCTAAATTAAGAATAGATTTAAAAATAAATTCTCAAGTCTTATGAAACTGCATTACTGTGATAATACTGTGAAGAAATCTGAGTACTTAGAAGTTCACAACTATATATCTGTAAAGAGATCAGAGTATCTATAAAGTATTTTCTTCAAAAAATAAGAACTGAATCTTCTGATCTCTAAATTATCAGAATTAAAAATCATAATCTTGTATAAAAATAAGATAAACTATAAACATCTCTATAAATATTTTTTTATAAATGAGAACTGAAATCTTACTGAAGATAATGCTGAACTCTGTAGCTTTCTTCAATAACAATCTCTGCAAATAATGAAGTTTCAACAACAACTGAATAATCTAAATATAAATATATTGAGAATTATACAAGCATTGACATCTCTTATATATAAAAAAAGAGAATGTCTCTCTCTTTTCAATAAGTTCACAGAAGAACTCTCAATCTATCTAGTTTGAAAATAAAAGATGAAAATCAAACTTGAAGAAGATGAATCTGTGATAAACTCTCTGCTTTTACAAGCTCATTATATTCACAGTCAGCTAGAAGAAAATATATTAGTCAAGTTTCAATCTTAAATTGAGTTATATATATATAAGATATATATCTCTGAAGAAGTCTTTTATTAACTAGATATTCTATTCTTAAACTCTATACTTCAAGTATATATAATACAATGATTGAATAGAAATTATCAGAGAAATATATCATTGATAAATTATCTATCTGATTTTGATAATAAGATACACAAAACAGATGATCAGAACTGAAATAATACTGTTAAAATCAATTTTCTAAATCAGTATATTAACTTTGAACTGCTCAAGCTCTGCATCTCATATTTTATATCTATATATTATCATAACTACTGCACTCACTTATATCAACTCAATAACAATCTTATATACTTTAATACTGTTCAAGAAAGATGTAATAATTATAGACAGAATTATATATCTGTTACTGTATCAGCTGCATCAACTATCTCTGCAGATATTATAGATTAAACCTCTTATATAAATATAGAATGATTAAGAATATCAAGTCTCTTCAGATAAAAAGTTACTGATTGAATTATCTGAAAAGTCTGCATTCACTGTAATAAATCAGAGTACTTTATAAATCAGTGTATTAATACAGTAGTTCTAACTTCTGTGATTCAAAGATTGCTTGAGCTTCTCAAAGCTTCTAAACTTTACA